GTCACTTAATTGAAAAGGGTCTTGTTATATTTCTTATGATGAAAGAAAAACCCAGTTTTGTCCATGAATGGTTGGTTCTATCTTGTATAAATGATGACCATGTAATGTGATTGATATCAGTGGTAGCCATAATATTGGATTTACTCTTGAATGGAATGCAAGAAGTAATTATTATCTCGAGGCCATGTTTGGCTATTCTTAAATAAAGTGGAAGTTACTTTTAAGTAAATCTTATTTATGACATTAACCATTAAAAAACGTTTTTGTTTCAAAATTTAAACATAAAAATTTCAATTATAAATAAACAATTAATTTTTCCTTATTGACCAGCATTGAAAATGTGTTACTTATTTTGACAATGGGCTAAAAGTTACTTTGTTTTATTATTATTATTATTATTATTATTATTATTATTATTATTATTATTATTTATTTTTTCCTCTCTCGCAAGAAGTAACATACTCAAACGTGCATACCAGAAAGTTGGGGAAATACATGGAAATGACCTTTTCAAAAGGGTTAGTTTTTCAAAATGACCTTTAGATATTTTACATATCAAAAATACCCTCCATTTAATATTACATAACAAGGCATCATAATATAAGAATCTTCTATTTTAGTCCTTAAAAATTTGGACATTGTTTAAAACTTGATAATTTTTACATGATTTATTTGATTCATATTTTATTTGATTTTTTGATTTTTTTTTCGTTCTAGTAGCACCCCTCTAATTGGTATTAGAGCCATAGTGATCATAAGAAAACATATAAAAATAGATTACCTAAAAATCTTTACATTTAGATATTGCAAATAAATAAAATTAATTATTGAAAAGATAAAGGAAGACTCAAAAGTTTATGATTTTAGAAATTATTGAAATTTATAAAAATAGACTAAGGTATCAGGTAAAATACAGTTCTAATATAGAATGCTATATAGAAGAAGATAATATAGTTAGAACATATAGTAAAGACATAAAAGAACTATTAGAAATTTTTAAAGTAATTAAAAATTTACCCATAGAAATAAAAGAAAAAATAATTAAAAGATATTATTTGAAGAATATTAGCATATATATATATATATTAGAAGAAGTCCAAAGTAAAATAGATTTCATAGTAATTAAAAAAAAAAAAGATTATTATGGAAATAAAAATAAGAAAAATAAATAATTATTATAAATTAGAAGAAGAGAAAGGTAGTTATATATTTCTAAAACCTATTAACAATAAATTAAAAATAATGACATTAATAATAACTAGAGAATTACCTAAAGAAATAAAGGAACAAATATTAGAAAAATTAATAATAGAGTCAATAAAAGATAGGTATATATATATGAGAAAATTATTGATATATATTTAGAAGAAGAAATTAATCTATATTATAAAGAAATAAAAGTATGAGCACAAGTGATAATACACATAAAAAATTGAATAAATTACTTTTAAAAATGGATAAAATACAAGAAGAGATAAGAAATATAATGTTAATATCAGAAGAAAGGAGAATATCAAAAATAGACAATTACCAAAATTAAAATGTGAAAGAATAAGACTTGAAAGTAAATATTTTACTATAGTAAAGAAAGAATTAGCAGATCCAGAAACAGTTGAGAGAAGATTTGAAAAAATAATAGATAGGAAAGAAGATAAAAGATGCAAATTATCCTATATGTTAGAAATAAAGAAAAACTAAAATGTCAATAAATGAATACATGGAAGAATTAGAACCATTAATAAAAATGCTAATAAATGATATACAAGATTTGAGAAATGAAGTAAAAGAAACAAGAAATGATATAAATATATTAAAAATTGAGATTAGAGAATTAAAAGAAAATAATAAGAATAAAGATAAGAAAATAGATAAAAAAAACTTATAGAAAAAGAAATGACTCGAATGGGAAAGAAACATATAGAAAAAGAAAATATAGTAGTAGAAACAGGAAGCATGGATGATGAATTTAGGAAAAATATATTACCAAAGATATTAGAAGAAGAGGAGGAATCTAGAGAAAAATTATTAGGAAAATTAAAAATAGAAAAAAAAGAAGATAAAAATGAATGAAGAATTAGATTTACTAATAGAAAATTTTGATTAATTAAGTCTAACTGATATAAGTGAATACCAAGTTTTAATGAATACTGGAGGAGGACCTAATCCAGCAGGAACATCTAAACAAGAATTACATGATACAGATGAAAGTTATGCACCCATATATAATAAACCATATAGACAATTCTATGATAAAGTAAGAGATAGACAACCACCTAAAGGAAATAAATATAAAGACAGATTTGAATTAAATGATAATTATGATAAACCAATTAATCATGGAGGAACAAAATTAGATTTAAATTGCAAAATAGATACCAAAAAAGTCTTATTAACTTGGGCAGATTCAATGATATTATTCTTTTTATATAATAAAGATGATACATGGGAAAGTACTGAAAGAAGAATAGATTACTTAATAGCATCCTTTGAAGGAGATGTTAGAAATTGGTGGGAAGGAATAAGTAATAATACAAAAACACTAATAAAGAGAAATGTACAAATAGAAATAAAAAAAAAAAATCAGATAGATAAGGTATAGAAAAATTAGTAGAATATATTTCAAATGAATTCTTAGGAGAAAATTGGATAAGAAATACTGAAAGAGAAGAAATAAGAGAAAAAGATAATGCTATGATTAAACTAATAAATTTAACAATATGTGATATGTGTAAAATTAAATAATATACTTGTGAATTTAAAAATTACTATTATGTTCAATTTTATAGTAATGAAAACCAAGAAGTATACCAAGACATCTATTATAATAAGTTAGAAGGTTTATGGGGTATATATTTTAAAATAGAATTTGAAAAATATGTTAGAAATAATACTGAAATACCTAGAATTTTAAGTTCAAGAATAAAAATTTTATTTGAAAGACTTGCATATATATGTCAACAAAGACAATTAATGAAAAAATTAGGAAAATTAACTAGAATATGTTGTGAAAACATGAAAACCCCTGTACAATGGGGATGTAATCCTGAAAGAAGAATAAATAAAAGAAAGTATAAAAATAAAGAATTTAAAAAATTTAGAAATTTTAATAAAAAATATATAAAACCTAAAAGAAGATATTATAAAAGAAATCCATATAATCCACAGAAAAATAAGAATTATAAGAAAAATAAAAGTCAATGTAAAAGTTGGAATTGTGGAGAAATAGACTAGAAGTCCTGATTGTGATAAAAAGAAAATAAGAATATTACAAAAAGAATATTTAGAAATAAAAGATGAATTAAGTGAAATATCAGATATTAAAAATATTATGATCAAGAAGTATATATAAGTCAGACGGAAGAAGATGAATCAGGATCCGAATAAAGAAATTGAAGAAATAGAAAGTAATAACATAAATATACAAGAATATGAAGGAAGATATTTTTGAAATTCTATTCAATAAGTTCAGAATATGATGGAATTGTTTATTATCCAGTTGAACATATAATCTCAATTGTATATGTTGCAACTAATTTCCAAATTGATATCACAGAATTTAATAGAAAAATTCCAACAGTAACAAAGTCATGGATCAGACATAGGAGAGCACTTGGGATAAAAGTCATATACAACATTGCCAAAAATTTGTTTGATAAAAAATTCTCATGCTTGTACCAATATGAAAATTGGATGCTGATATCTAATGGAGGATATGGAAAAGCAGAAATTTTAAAAGATTATATTACAAGATTTGATATACATCAATTTTCAGGATATCCTACCACTATAAAAGAATTTTGCCAGTTAAGGGAGCGCCCCAACTGCATGTGAAGAAATAAAAGAAGAGGACAAAGCACCTTTTGACAAAGGTGTATGAACGACAATAATACTACATGTAAAGGCATTGAAGATAAGGAGCACTAATAGAAAAGATGTTCTTTGGATGGAAAAGTAGAACCAACATGTGAAGATGTAGGCCAAAGGAAGAAAATAGAAAGGCAAGTATGCCTTTGCTGATGTATTCAATGATGTAATAGAATCTCAAAAACTTGTATAAATAGAGATGTCTTGCCATAGATAGAGGCATCTCATCCTATCTTGAAATCTCGTGTTGTAAGCAATAGCCACTTTTATAATCATTTTCAGTTAGAAACACCAATTTTTCTGGAAATCTCTTTGTACCAAATATAAATCTTGTACCAATTCCAGTAGAAATAAAATTCCAATATTTTGATATCAATATGAGTTTCTAAACCTTTTTCCCATAGATTCTTGAAAGATCTAATAAAAAAATTCCTTCTTATTTTAGCAAAAAAGAGAGTTTTCTTTAACAAAAGTCTAGAATTATATTTTTTAGAAGTTGATACAGCAGCTGAAATAGTAACAATTCCGTGAAGGCAAGAGGCCGTTAAATGAAGCAATTTACAAATTCAGAACTCGAAGGTCACTCGGTTCTAAGAACACAGGTCTAGACCAAACCAAAGGTAAAACTATTAAACTTTTGCTAAAATTAAAATGAATATTTTTAAAATTTTAAAAGAATCACAGGGATAATTGCATAATGATTATTTTTGATAAATGCCATGATATACAATTGAAGGATTAGATAATTTATTAGAAAAAATGTTAGAAGAAATAAAAAATATTATATTGCAGTTAAAAAATACAAATTTACCATTTGAAGAATATAGTATTTTACTTAACAAATATGATTTTTATGTTGCAGATTATTCTTATTTATTAGATCATAAAATGATTTTGTATTCAAATATCCAAAATAGAGTAAATAGAAGATAAAATGTTTAAAAGATTAGGATATATGTTGTAATATAGAAAGAATCATTTCATTAAGAGTAATATAAACCTTTCCATAAAAAGGAATAGTGATGGGCCAATTAGGAAATTGCCCTAAAAAGTTGAACCTTTGCAATTTTACTTGAAAGATAAGCTTAGGTAAACATGCTCTTGAGGACATTAAAAAAACTATCAGCAATTGCATCTGTACTGCCAAATAACGTTATTTAAAATCAGGAATTGCATGTTACTCTGATTGGTAAGCCACACGAAATTCTAAATCAATGGAATGCAGCCGATAATTTCGAAAGGAGAAAAAAAATTCGTTACTTGCAATATAGTACACAAAATTCATTCTCAATTACATTCTGTGCTGTTGTAGTTGAGCTCGTCGAGCTTTGCAGAAGGTGAACTACTCCACGAAAATTATAGGGATTCTGTAGTCATCTTCCCAATATCCTGGAAACTGACAGAGAACCAAAATAAAAAATAATAAATAAATAAATTAGTGTCCATATAAAAAGTTACCTGTAATGAACTCTTTTAGCATGTTTGGTAATGTGAACTCGATAAGAATGGCGTAATGTGAACTTGATAAGAATGGCCAGTATTTAAGAAAAATAAGAAATAAAATTTTATCTATTGTATTCTCTAATCATATCCAATCATTCGTAAAGTATGCGCTTTTCCTATTATCATAGCAGCCAAATACACCAATTATTACTTCAAAAATACCTAAAAGTAAGAATGATTACAGAAATAACCCGTATTAATTAAAGCATTTAATAACAAGAAATAAGAAAAATGAAAAAGAAAGAACAAGTGATTTAAGGTGTTTCACTCTCAACGTGAGAGCTAGTGCACTCGGTGTCGCTACAAAATTAAACAGTGAAAGACAAAATGCAATCAGTAGCATAAAAACCAACAAGATGCATATATTCTATACAATAGAGAAAGAGCAATATAAGTAAATGCAAAATGGCGGCACACATATATAGTTGTTAAGAATAAGACTAATATGAAACAGAAATGTGTTAGCTAGGATATCGAGCACATGGTGACTATGACACTCTTCAGTGTCTTGCACCGAGAACACTATACTCCAATCAAACCTGTGATTCACAAGATCGATTGTCTGCTCCTGATTACTATTTCCCATCCAATCACCGGGGAATACAACCAAGTCGAGAAAATTAAACTCTGTTTTCAGTGCTTAGAATTCCCTACAGTTCCCTCTGCACATTTCCATGTCACAACAAAAATAACTCAGCAATTTCCAGATGACTACATAATCAGCAAGCCAAGAAGTAAAACTAATTACAGCATATGAGCATCTCTGGTTTAATTTCAATGTGCAGCCAACTTTCTTTACTAATTCAGGTCACATATGATTCGTGTGAACCCACCATTTGCCAATGTATTTAGCCAACCCAGTAGCTGCAGCCCATTTACCTCTCTACTCAACAAGACACATTCAGTTAGTTCTTCATCAACTCTACTTTTCACGTCTCAATTGTTCTTTCATTAATACCTTCCGCCTACCTACAATGTTATTTGATTTATTCTTGGTGATTTTTTTTGATTTATTGTGATTTATTTATTTTACCACGTGACCTATGGTCTTCTGAGAAGTCCATTTCTTCCAAATTATTATTATTTAACAAAAATAGTTTTTGATCCACTTTTTCAGCCCTTTATGATATGTATATTTTCTGTGTTACAAATTTATCAAATCAGTTCTCATGTTGAAACAAATTGGAGCATAGCCAAAAGAAAGATGTTTAAGTTCTCAAAACGTAAGAGCAGTGACTGAATTTCATGGATGTGCCTGTGCTTCCATGCAATACTAAGTGCATGTATGGCAGCGACAGAATTTCATGGATGTGCTTGTGCCCCCAGTTTGGTAGCAATTTTTCACCCTCAAAAATTAACTTTTTGACCATTATTTCATTATTCTAACCGTCATTTTTTACTTCTTCACTCACAGGTAGAACCTACTTTTCTCTATAACGGTCAAAAAATCAATTCTCATAAATCACTACTGTATAGGCCCTAAGCATGTTCTGACGCATGTTTCCTAAGCTAAGTATAAATAGAATTTTATGTCAGTTTAATACATGTCATTAGTTCTGCATGGCTTTTGCAATCTCCTCTTGCAAAAGGAAGACTTAATAAATGCAATAAAACTTTTAATTTGGTAGCTTTTGGATGGCTTCTGCTGATTACTTAAAATTCTTCCAAAGTGTTTTTGATCCCAATGATGTTTATCTACATCTCTTATTTTCATATTGCTAGAAGAAATATATACAGCTTTATTGACTAATATTATAGTTGGAATATTATAGAAATGTCTGACCTAGGTCTAGAACTCTCTCTTTTTCCTTTGACATTATTGGCAGGCTGCTTATGATTAGGCCATTTTCAAGAATTAGACAGACTGCATTTCTAGATTACGAGATTTTTCAATTACTAATAAAATGAAATATTACCAATCTTCATGCAAAGAGGGTAGATGGTTTGTCTCGTGAGGGATAAAGAGAGGAAAGATTTAGAATCAAATGATTCAAGCCAAATCTAGTGCTCTTTACCAGACCATGGACATACCAGATTTTCACTTTTTTATTTACATTCCAGGAAACAGGTCTATGCAACTATCCAAGTATTACAGGGCTAGGCAACCCAAACATTTACAATATCAATATTGTTTATGTACCATTATTATAACTAGTTTACCTCGGACCTATAATAATTTTACCAAAGTAGTTTATTCGCTTAAATTTATGTCACAACTCAAGTAGTGTGCTACTCTAGCACTGGACGATGCCAGAACCAAATAATCAGCATTGTGAGCCATACAGATATAATATAGTATGTTAACACACGAATCGATTAGAACAATATATGATAATATCACATTTTAAAGCACAAGTAACAACAAAGGCAAGAACTATGATTGATAAATTGCCAATGTCATAATATATTACTACAATGACATATTATATAACAAAAGCAACCAACAGAAGCACCCAAATGTACCACAAAACATTTCCATCTCCTTAAGGAAGCATGCTTTCCTTGTCTTAAAAAGACTCTTATGCTATGAAAGAGTTAAGGTTACCTGCATCACCCCTTAAATTGTCCCCAGAAAAATCAATATTATGGTTGTCATCATCCTCATCATCTTCGTCATCACTGTCATCATCATCATCCATATCTCTTACTTTAGCAATTTCGGCCTGTGCATGCTCAACAATCTGCTTCTTCTGTAACTCCAACTCCCTCTGAAAATCTTGCCTCATCTTCTCCAACTCCATCATATGCTTCCTCTTACTGTCCTCAATCTTTTCATATATCTCTCCAAACCTCTGAATCGATTCGGCCAACAACTTAGCCGACTCTGCTCCTTCCTCCTCGTCTCCCAACTCTTCCTCCTCCCCATCCTCTTCGTCTGACTGCCCTGGACTGTCCCTCATTTCATCCAACAAATTAGACCTATCTAAGTACACCCGTGGATTCATAAACACATACTCCCCTGAGTCGATCCCACACCCCAATCCACAATGACCTCTAGTCCTCATATTCAACAAAACATCCATTTTCTTGAAGAACGCCCACTTGCTCGCATGCCCACTTTCCACTTTGACCCTCTCTTTCTTGTACTTGTTCTTCAGCACATCCAACTGGCTCCTACACTCCATCTCTGTCCTCTCGACTCCACTCATCTCCAAAACCTTCTCAGCAACCTCAACCCAATCCTCCGTCCTCAAACTTCTCCTCCCTAACTCCATATACCTTTCCCCCCAAACCTCCAACAACACAAAGCTCTCCTCCTCACTCCACATTCCGTTTTGAGGGACAAACTCATAGTTCGAGACGAAAGACTCCAACTTTCTTTTCTTGGGGTGCCTCTTGGATTCCTCATAATTATACAGTTGCCCATTTTCAGCAACATTTTGATATGGGTTCTCTTCATCTTCATCAAAAGCATTGTCGTCAAACTCAATTTCGTTCTGGGAGCTGTATGAATGGGGAATAGAGTTTCTCATTAAAACTTTGATCTAGAAATTCAGTGGTGGTTCCTTTGGTAGGATTTTTGTATATAAATATATCAAAACCTATACAATCCTAGGAATTGAAAATAAAACGCTAATTTGGGCCGAATTTACGGTTTATATTTTCCCTGATTTCTAGTGGCGGTAGGGTTTTGCTGTTGAAAGGGAAAAATTAGAATTGGGTTACAGTTCACAAGCGGTGTGCTTTTGACGGAGTTTTTTTGGGGCAGAATAAAGATCCAATATTCCTTCGGGAGTGAAGTCACTCAAATTTGAGAGAAGTTTCATTTCAGCCACAATTTTTATTTTTTGTTCCAAACTCAATGCTGAAGTTTTAATTTTCTTTTATTTTGGTAACTAAACAATTTAGTGAATAAATTTGACATTTTCTTTTACATGACAAGTAGATTTTCATATGTGATAGTGCATATTTTGATAAAGCGCGTAGGTCGTTCCATATTGCTACAGTTGCATCTATCAATTTATACAAATTTGAAAGTGTCTTGTTAGGTCTGGACGCGATTTGATTTATGTTGGTTTTGATTCAGACCTGAAACCGAAATCAAATTAATTGATTTAGGTGAATTTCAATCCAAACCAACCACTCTAACTCAGTTAAATTGAACCGAACTTATTTGGTTTGGTTTGTTTCGGTTAGTCGGTTTGGACTTTTAGTCCAGATTGAATTTTAAAAAAAATTGTCCAAAATTTGCCTTAATTATATTACAAGAACTAAAATAACTTTATATTACAAGAATTATTAACTAAAAAATAAAATCAAGTTAATAGAGACAGATCAACAGAAAAATTAAGAATTTTTTTGCCTTTTTAGGCATTATGTAATATGATTGTCTAAGTAGGAAAAAGTTGCTAATTATAATATAATGAGCTATTGAAAGGAAATTTTAGTACTATTACTTATCGGCAACATTATAGATTGTAGAGAATCGAGATATAGTTATGAGATTAATGCTTATCTTTTTATTTTTATTTTTATTTTTCTTTAAAAAAAAAGATAAACAAGTGGGTTGGGTTGATTTCGTTAACCAGCGGTTTGAGGCTTCAAACTATGTCCGAACCAACCTACCATGGTTTTGTTTAAAAGAAAACCAAACAAAACTAATTACTTGTGTTAAGCTGACCCGAGTTGGTTCGATTTGATCGATTTTCTGATTTTTTTTTTTTTTTTGCTCAGGCCTATGTCTTGCCATTATGTTAAACTTCGTGTTTCAATAGCATAACCATAGGATTAAGAATGGTAGTTTGATCGTAGTTTGCACTACATCAAACAAATTTCAATATAAGTTCGCTTAAGAAAGTCCATTTTGCCACATAAGACATGTTAAATTTGTTGGGAAATAAAATGGATTAAGGTAATATATATGACAGGATACGAAGCATATGATTGCAAACAAACAACAAGATAAAATGCAAAGAATTAATTAGTAGAGAAACGGAGTATTCTATTAATGATTAATATGTAGAAAATAAATATAATAACTGTGCCTAGACAATTATTATATATTTCAATAATATAAAATTTATGTAAAGAGTTTAGTATTTATTAGGATGCATGTCAAACACTAGAAATACTCCAAAAATAGACACAAGATACAAAATCATGTGAAATAAAGGGAAAAAAATTCTTCAAAAAACCCAACCTAATTAATTTAGGTAAAAAAATCAACAATCTCCACCTTGACTTAAAATTCGGTACAACAAATGAAACTCCAAATTTCTCCATCTAGAAAAATAAATCCGACTGTAATGAAAATATGAACTCTTCAACAAGAATCAAACTTTCTATAACACAAAAATACTCTTCGTCTTCCATGACATCCAATACGAATACTTGAACCAAACATCAAGTTATCCAAAACTCACAAAAAAATTAAAAATTATTAAACGGTGTTGAAACACACCATGTAGTAAAATCAATCCAAATGCTTTCACGGAAGGCCTCTGACTAGTCTCAAACCTTCAAAAAGGATAAAAGCACGTGCAACGGAATGAACATCCACGTACCTATCTCCAACGGGTCTATTCCTAACAGTTAAATACGTTGAACTCATAGATAATGCGGCAAAGCGGAATTACCCATATCTTCCAAACTCGATTGAGTAGAATCTTTCAACGTGAATCACAAACCAAATCCTAAAGATACAGCACCAAAATTGAATCTCCACCATGGTATTAAATCCGTGTTGACTTTTCTTCACAAATTTTTCTCGACCTTACATTATGTATAACTGGGACCTCTTTAGCCCCTTCAATACAACACGAACATTATTTTGAATCCTTAAGACTCCATAGTCCACAGAACGTGCACCCTTTTGAATCAAGATTACTCAACGAAATGAGATTCTTCTTCAAGTCTGGAATATGTCCAACGAGATCAAGTGTTTTACACGTTCCATCCACCTGCTTCAATCTAACTCTACCAATACCAGCTACCCGATTGTCTTTTCTTCTTGTAATAAAAACAAACCTGATTGCTAAAATTTGACATCGAGTTACCCCTTCTTTGATCACCATGAACAACAAGGCCTTCTCCATCTCTGATCTCAGATCCTTCTAGGTTTTATTTTTTCTGTTGAAAACAAGGTATCATACGTATCTTCAATGGTGAGAGTGTCATGATTATACAAGAACGTATCTTTAAACGAAGTAAACGAAATAGGTAGTGAGCACAAAAGGATTAAGGCCAAATTTTCTTCATCATACTTTACCTCTAAAGTCTCTAAATCAACGATGATCTTCTTGAACATAATCAGATGATCTTCCAAAGATTCGCCTTTTCTATACGATGAGAATACAACCCCTATTTCAGACGCATTTTGCTTGTTAGATTTTTAGTCGTGCACAATTACTCCAACTTCAACCACAATGCAGTTACTGTTTTCTCCTTCAAAATGTGTTGAAGAATCTTATTAGAGAAATGAAGATGTATTTGTGAAAGTGCCCCATGATCGTTCAGTTGTTTTCTTCCTTGTCTAAGTTGTAGGTATTTTGTCAAATCCTAACAACGTATCATTTAAATTTATCTGTGCGATCATAGCTCGCATTTTCAGTTGTCACAATGATAATTCCATATTGCGATTCGAGAGCAAAATTTCATATTTCATGACTACTATCAATAACAAAAACCTCGAACAAATCACAACCAATAGCTCTGATACCACTTGTTGAGAAATAAAACAGATCAACATACTATAGATGACACGATATGAAATATATGATCACAAACAAATAACAAAATAAAAGATAAAGAATTAATTGACAGAAGATCGGATTATTTCATTTAGTTGACTAATATGTAGAAAATAAATATAATAATTGTGCCAACACAATTTTCTATATTTAAGTAATACAAAACTTGTGAAAAAAGAGTCTATTATTTATAGGGTTGCATGCCAAACCTTAGAAGTACTACAAAGATAAAAACAAGATAAAAAATAATGTGGAATAAAGGAAAAGATATTTTCTCAAAAATCCAACATAATAACCCAACAAAATTATGTGAACGAATAGTTATTGGTGACCAAATTAAAGTGAAATTGTAACTTTATTAATGACTTTAAAAGAAAAGTTGACTAAAATAAAACGTCTCTCAAAGTTTGGCGGACTCTAATGTTTTTACACTTTGTTTGTATCCTTGTGTTTTTCTTCTTGGTTCGAGACATTTTAGTTTGATTAGCCAATTTTATCTTTGTTAAATTCCATGTAGACAAAAGTTTTAGACTTCTATCTTGCCAAAACAAGGAATTTGACACTATTCCTTGTCTTGTTTACAAGAACATACAAATATGTCGTCAACATTACGAACAACCATGATAGAGTTTCAAAAAAAAAAGTGAATACAGAGGTACTACTGCCATTACAATATATAACACGTAATAGACATTTAGCATGAACATAAGGGTATGACCTCATGTCACGACTTAACATTTTGGTCAAGCTGCATGACCTCTCGTATGATGCCGCCACATTTCTCATAACACACCATTTTATCTTCTCGATTGCATATTGGTCATAATACTAATACTAAGAATAACCACACATGTAGGTGGTTGTTTGTACAAAAAGAACATTTTATGATAGTTAGGTCGAGACTTGGACGAGAATTTAAATTTATCCTTTTACTCAAGTATCTAAATTGTACTTCACACTATTGAAAAAATGTTTTCCACAAACAGCGTCACAATTATATTATGTTATAGGAAGGAATCTTTAGTGAGGTGGTCACACCACATGGATTGTGCTATCGCCCAGTGTCGAGGTGCCACCTCGACGGGTGGCCTACATGCCTTTGGGGTGTGTGGTGGGCCACCCATAGAGGTGGCGTACCCTGATAGGGCGATCACACCGCCACATGGTACGACCGTCCTATTAAAGATTCTCTCATATTATAGGGGCATCCTAACCATTAATTTATTTTTCTTTATTGTAAGAATATAATTCAAGTAAAAATTGTTGTCACATTATATTATCTAGTAGCAAGTGCTGAGTTGATTAAAGAGAGAAAAAAAAATGTCCACAACAATATGTAGAATATCTCTACACGGATGGATTATCATAAGGTTAAACACTGAATAGGAAATTCTAAATCTGTTTGGTGAGCCTATAAAGATGTGACCATAGCTAACATGGTGTTGGACAAATATTAATAAAATTTTCGATCTTCAATTATGCAAAAGTTAGAATTTTATTCTTGATTGAGTTGAGGGCGATTTTGTAGTTTGCAACTACCACCGTCAAGTGCAATTGCAAATTTTTATCATACGTGCTTAATCGAATGAACCTAAAACTTTTTTTTTTTTTTTCAAGTTTTAGTCTTCTTCTTGCTCAATACGTCTACATCCTAATTTCAAACTAACTCATCAAAACGAGAAAACTTCAACTTATATGCCATTAGAATATTTCATGATACAACACTTCATAGAAAATCGAATACATTATAATAAAACACCATTTACTACATGATAAGTGTATTTTTCCACACTTATTTAGTTCACAAATATGACTAAATTATGATCAAAGAGTTTGAACTATTGCTTAATTCTATGTAATTATGTTTTGTAAGACTATATTGATGAATGTGGTTGAATTCAAGAGAAAAGAAACAAAAAAGAACCAAAAAGTAAGAAAATTCAAAGTATGAGGACTTAGTTGCAACATTTTAATAGTTGATTCGGATCATAATATGAATATTAAAGATGTTGCGGGTTCAATTGAATGTAATTAGAAGTCAAAGGGTTGAAAATGCAAGAGAAAGGACTTGAAAGAATAAAAAATCAACTTCGAAAGCTAAAATGCAACATATAAAAAAAATTTTGCCGGCGCGACATCCCAGTTATAAATGCCGAGCGATCGTCCAACATGATTTTTTAATTATCGAGAAAAAACTATTAGCCTGAGCGACTACCCGAGTTTTGCCTGGACGACAACCCAAGCCAATCGCGACGAGAAAATTTTGTTTCCTTTTCTGAATGCAATTCTTATGGAAACAAATTTTGGGAAGTCTTGTAAAGCCCTAGGGACGTCCAAAAACATAGACGACGCATTATATATTATTTTGAGAGGATTTGAAGAGAAAGAAAAAGGAAGAACAAGAAGATCCAATCCAAGATTCAAGGTCTCACTTTAAGAATTTCAATAGGGTAATATATTTTCTTGATTTTTATTGTTGTGTTTTTCTTCTCATCGTGTTATGCTAGAAAAATCTATACTATGAGATCGATTAACCTTGTAATGTGATATTTAATTCTTTGTTCCGTATTTTGACATTAAAACACGTATTGATTTTTTGAATGATTTATATGCATTTAATTGCTTTCATGATTATTGGCTTGTAATTGTGTGAGTTTTGGTAGTTTATTTCATCTATTCGAAAAAAGACAAATAATTTCGACAAGGTATAAATCACCGTAGGGTCCGATAGGGGATAGAAATATACATCCATGCTTTGCGTGAATCTCTAAGTACTCACAAAACTAAATGCATTCTCGTATATTTGCATCTGTCATAGAGATATAGGTTGGTGGTGTATGAGAATAGGTTCAATGCATCTCGAGAGAGAGTATTGGATAGATTTAGGAGTATTGATTTTTCAAAATGTCATCGTGTTGTCAAAGTGTGGAATTAAGGTGAAATTGAATATTACTTGAGAATTCGTGATCCTAGTATATCTCACATTCATTGAATACATTTAACCTGAGTCTCAAACATCAAATTGCATTTTAGTTAAATTAAACGTTGTTTTGCATATCATACCATTCAATTCATAATATTCGTACTTTAGCTTTGCATGTTATTTAATATGTTATTCAAGCATTCGATATGTTATATTAAATTTTAAATTAATAATTTCAAATAGAGTATTTTCGATATATTTCCGCTTAAATTAGATAGAGAAAGTTTCGGTAGCACTTCGAGCTTATTTTAATTTAAAAATAATATAATAATATGGAAAAGAGTTCGGAGCGTTACACACAAAATTCAAAAAAGAAAAAATCAACTTTGAAATCCCAAAGTATTCTTATATCTCTGTAATTCAATCCCAACCTTTCTAACAATTGAAATATATGAAATTGATGAGATGAAAAAACCAATTGATTCAAATTTGAAATATGGAGTAGAATTATGCAAATATTAGAAAGGTTAGGGTTAAGCGAAAATATGGAGTTGATGATACGAAAATGCCATTGATTGTTTTATTGGGTTTGAAGTTCACACGACATTTTAATATAAAATTTAACAAAAATATGAAATGTTTTTGTTTTTGTTTTTGAAATAATAATATGACCATTTTGCCCTCACTTGAATGGTCAAAAATGAGTCAAATATTGAATTTCTTGGTCAACTGATGGACAAATGGATGAATTTCATCCACGTGTCCTCCATCTCCATGTTATTTAAGGCATGGAACCTTAGCTGAAAAAATAAAAGATTTGGGTATGCTTTAATATTTTGAAAGGTTTGAGATCCCAGCTGCAATTGTTCAAAGATTATATGCATATTTCGAAATTGGAATGCCAAAGCTTGTTGTTGTCGAAGCCTCAACGCTCACATCTTGCAAATATTTTTCATCTGTTTTGCGACTTGCGACTGCTGATTAAAATGATTCGAAGGTCGCCGCATCTTCGGACGCTGTTCAAATGTATCCCTCTACGCTCTCTGATTTTTTCTTCGTCTTCAGCATTTTCTTCTGCAACTCATTTAACCCAGAAAGCACAGCCTTACAGAACGCCCTTCAAATCGTCAGCAAACATTGATCCACTCCTCATAAATCGCTTGTGCAGAGAGCAGAAATTTAATGAAGCCGTTGAAATCCTCTGCCAACAAAAGCGATTAAAGGACGCGATCAGATTACTAGAAAACCATGTTCACTCTCCATTTGCCGCTATTTATGCGACGATTTTGCAATTGTGTATTGAAAAGAGAGCTCTGGAAGAAGGCAAAAGAGTCTGTATGCATATTAAAGGCTCAAATTTTGTACCTGGAATTTTTGTTTCAAATAAGATTCTTGATTTGTACTGTAAATGTGAGAGTATTTTGGATGCCCAGAAATTGTTTGATGAGATGCCCGAGAAGGATTTGTGTTCTTGGAACATTTTGATTTCTGGTTATATGAAAATTGGATGGGTTTTAGAAGCGAGAAAGTTGTTTGATGAAATGCATGAAAGAGATAATTTTTCCTGGACTGCCATGATTTCGGGTTATGTGAAACACAATGAACCTGAAAATGCGTTAAAATTGTACAGACTAATGCAGATAAATGAAAATTGCAAGAGCAATAAGTTTACAGTTTCTAGTATTCTTGCAGCTTCTGCTTCATTGAAGTCTTTGAGCCTAGGAAAGGAGATTCATGGTCAAATTATGCGTAGTGGGTTGGATTCTGATGCAGTGATATGGGGTGCTTTATTGGATATGTATGGGAAATGTGGGAGCATAAATGAAGCGAAACACATTTTTGATAGGACGATGGATAGGGACATTGTTTCATGGACAACTATGATTGATAGATACTTTGGAGAGAGGAGATGGGAAGAAGGACTCTCGTTGTTCTCTGATTTATCTAGTTCTGTGATAAGGCCTAACGAGTTTACATTTGCCAGTGTTCTGAATGCCTGCACACATCAGACAGCAGAGGAGTTGGGCAAACAGGTTCATGGATACATGATGCGAGTTGGATTTGACCCGTATTCATTTGCTGCGAGTGCACTTGTTCACATGTATTCCAAATGTGGTAATGTTGAGAGTGCACTTAAAGTCTTCAAAAATCTGCCGAGACCTGGTTTGGTTTCATGGACTTCTTTGATTAACGGGTATGCTCAGAATGGTCAACCCCATGAAGCTCTTCGGTTGTTTGAGCTCTTACTTAAATCAGGTACTCAGCCTGATCACATTACTTTTGTTGGCGTTCTTTCCGCTTGCAGCCATGCTGGTTTAGTTGATAAAGGCCTTGAGTATTTCTACTCAATAAAAGAAAAGCATGGATTATCTCACACAGCGGATCACTATGCCTGTATGATTGATATCTTGAGTCGAGCTGGCAGATTTAACGAAGCTGAAGACATTATCAAGGGAATGCCCATAAAACCCGATAAGTTTTTATGGGCTTCTTTACTTGGTGGCTGCAGAATTCATGGAAATTATGAACTTGCAAAGCAAGCAGCTGAAGCCTTGTTCAAAATTGAGCCCGAGAATGCTGCTACATACGTTACCCTTGCCAATATCTATGCCACAGCGGGCAAGTGGAATGAAGTGGCAAAGATCAGAAAATTAATGGATGAGAGAGGAGTTGTAAAGGAACCTGGTATGAGTTGGATTGATGTTAAGAGAAAAGTCCATGTTTTCTTAGTTGGAGATGAATCACATCCAAGATCAAAAGAAATATTTGAGTTTTTGGAGGAAGTTTCAAAGAGAATGAAGGAGGACGGTTATGTTCCTCACACAAACTATGTGCTGCATGATGTGGAAGAGGAGCAGAAGGAGCAAAATCTCTCGTATCATAGCGAGAAACTTGCAGTTGCATTTGGAATAATTACCACTCCTCCCGGAACTCCTATCAAGGTCTTCAAGAATTTAAGAACATGCGTTGACTGTCACACTGCCATTAAGTTCATTTCTAAGATTGTCGAGAGAAAAATAATCATACGAGATTCGAGTAGGTTCCACCGTTTTGAGGGTGGAATCTGTTCATGCCAAGATTATTGGTGATTCTCATCTCTCATCTATCTCTCATTTATCATGATTTTTGATTCAAAATGAGAAAGGAAGGTGGGTGTTTATCTCCTCAATTCCGTCCCTTGTTGTATTAGCTAAGTTAGTCTCCTGGGCGATTGTGGCATCCGGTTGATTGAGTATCCTTACCGTCTAATATTTAGCGACATGAAGTTTAGAAGCTTGTGAGAATTTGTCCAATCATAGTTAAATGCCAACGAATGATAGGTTAGCATCCAACAACACAAACTTTGACCTGGCTTCATTCCCAGTTTAGCCAAATTTGATTAGTTCAAGAATGAGTGAAGGGTCGCGGTCATAATTTGAAATGATATCACCAGCTTGCCATTGATTCTATTCATTCTTGTCTATGAAGCGGGTTCTGGAGTGTCTTTTTCCTTTACAAACACTGGTTTTCAATCATTTGGTGAATACCTCTGCCAGTATGGAATCCAAAGCACACAAATGATCCGAGGCATTGGAATGGCAAGTAATCCAGCGTCTGAATATTCTCGAGCAGTTTGGAATGGCCCGTGCTCTGGAAACTTTTTGTGGAAAGGCATATGGAGCCAAACAATGCCGGCCACTTGTGGTGCCATTTTATCCCTCTTCCTGGTGTGTTTACCAGTATCTCTACTCAGATGAAAATCATAATCACCTTGCAACACTCAGATTACGAATAAATTAGGAGCCAGGAAACCACAGGCAGCCTGAGCCGTACTGATTCTGTCAAATGCAGAGCAAGCACTGCAGCCATTCATCGGGCTATGCATCTAGTGATGATGAGGAAATTGCTTGTGTAAATGAATCCTTTACTTAGCCTCTCCATCGGTCTGGCCAAAGCTATGCTCTCTGGTGATCTATATTCATCTATATTGTGTAAATGATCCAAGGACTGACAGAGGCAGCAAAATTGATGAGGCCAATCTGGATGTTCCAAGAACATAAGGGTATGTTTCATAATTTAGATTGGACAAGGTCACTGTCAGTCAAATAAAAAACAAGACAACTTTTAATAATAAAAAAAGAAGCATAAATATGAAAAAAAAAAATTATACAACCATGCGAAACTAGTTAAAACGATTTAATATACAATTTTATTTATTTATCTATTTATTTGTTCTGAATAAAAGATGGTAATGAACAATTTAAAAGTTTTTCGAAAATTTTGAATAAAAAAGCATATATAGTCATTTTTAACTTTTGTACAGAAAAAAATCTTTTAAAAACTTGAATTTAAAGTCAAATGAAAGTTTTTTTTTTTTTTTAAAAAAATAATAATAAGCTAAAGTCAAATAAAAAACTTAAATATAAAAACTAATAAAGCGCGTCTACGAAAGATAAAAGAAATGAAGAAAAAATTCAACCATTTAGAAATTGAAGAGAAAAAGGCGTCTAGGCTCGAAGCGAGGCTTTTTACCCAAGTTTCGAACCTATGCGAACATTTTAGAACACTGATATCAAATATCTCACTAAACATTCGTGCCAAGTAGGAATTTTAACATCACAATCCATATGATGAATTATGTCCACATTGTACCAGTTCACACGATTTTACTCTTAGACTTGCACCCAAAAGGCTATCACTCGAAAGTGACTCTTTCACTTATAAATCAATCTCATTTTCAGTCCACATGTGGATATGGGATTGTGTTTGCTATTATGACCTCACCTTATGGTCCCAACGTCCTAGTTGGCAACACTTCTGACTACACTTTGATCTCTGATAGAAATTTCGATATTGTTCTCTTTGAACATATCCAGCACAATTTATTCTTGAACTTTCATCCTAGAAGCCTAGTACTAATTAAGTATGATCCTTCCAATTCTTTTCCCCAGGCAAATAAGAGACTGAGGTTGCTACATGATTCTATTTAAAATTGAATGACCGACCGACTAGGTGGTATAACTTAAAAATGGGTGTTAAAATTCGTTGAGGTAAATAAAACAATTAAAATTCAGTGGTAGAGTTCTATTGCAATTGGCGCAACTAACCCATTAGAACAATAAGAGCTATGCAAAAGGAAAAATTACGTCAAGTTACTTTACGATTAATTTAATGAATAATGTACCACTGCAACTATAAATATTAAGATTCGAAGGACATGTTTAATGAATGCTTGTCTTTATATTTAATTTGGAATAAATTTATTTTGTCAATTATGTGGTATTTTTATTTGTTTTTAGACAACAGCTTCGATCCCAGTCTCGTGATCCTATTAACTTTTCTGAGTCAATATCCAAACCCATTTTCAGAATATTACTACTAAAAGGAGAACACAATTCAAAATCAGAGAAATCGCCAGATTAAAGTCACAACACAGCTAGAAAAATGGATGAACCCATCAAACTCATTATGGTAAAATAATTTCTACAAAATTTGAAGTCTCCAATACTCCCACAAACCACCCCGCTATTCCCTATGACTTACTCGAGGTCACTCGCCTGTGTACACACGTCCATAAGAGATCTGTACAGAATGCTATACACAAGTGAAAAAAAAAATTGAAAAACAAATGTGGCCCCAAGCGTTGAAGATTTATTGTTCAAAATCAACAATTAACGTGTATGGAATGAAAAATGGGGAGTTGGCTAAAATTGGGCTCAAGATACTACCATGTGACCGCATGGTTATCTTGGCCATGCAACCGAGGCCCCGTGCGACCGCATGGATTTGTACCATGCGGTCGCATGGTACAATTTTTTTTATTGTTAGAGGCCGTTTTCTCCCATTGTAAATTTAAATTTGGTGACTTTTGACTTATAGTTTGGTACCATTTCGTGAAAGTGATGTATGCCTATATATATTGGATCCATGTTGACCATTGGGAGCGAAATAAATGCAATTAAGGGAAAGGTCCCCGACTGGTAGTATGATACTTGTGCCACGGTACATGTATCATATGACAAATTTTTGTTCAAAACATACAATGAAGTGGATGGAGATCAAGAGATCCAAATGAGTAACGAGGTGCGGTCCAAAGTAATTGGAAAAGGAATTGTAGAAATTATTTTCACTTCTGTGAAAAATGTTACTCTCACAAATGTACTATATGTTCCAAATATGAATAGGAATTTAGTGAGTAGAAATCTTTTGAGAAAATCGGGCATTAAAAGTGTTTTTGAGTCCGATAAACTTGTATTATCATTTAATGGGAAATTTGTTGAAAATGACTATTCATGTGAAGGAATGGTCAAACTTTGTATTATTGACAATGAAATAAATAAAGTTGATTTTGCTTACATGATTGATTTATTTTCTTTATGGCATGCTAGGTTAGGTCACGTAGGTAAAAGTATCATGAAACGCATGAGAAATTGTGACTT